GGATAATGTCAGTTGATATTTCCCATGATAGTACGCTTGATGAATCCACATTCTTTTGTTTCTTTGTCTTGTTTTAGCAAATTGATGGAGAAGCATTTTTACTTATGACTCAGACAGACATTGTTAAAATCATGAGCATTAAGCTGGGTCCTGCTCTCAAAATTTTCAACTCCATCCTGATGTTCAAAGCTGCAGAGAAGAATTCTCACAATGAACTTTGAAGGTGGTGAATCCTGAGTACAATCCGCTTTCTGCTTTAAAGCTCATGTTTTCTCAAAGCACAAGGACCTTTATGACCTCCTAAGTGAGAAGTCTCCAAAATGCAAAAGAGCAACACTATTGGATTATTTATATTCCTTGAAAGACAATATATATGAATTCTTATGAAAGTGCTTGAGCTTTTAACTAGGTACTGTCTAACAACAGTCATCCTTTGGTTCTGTTCACTGAGCTAAATTTATCTTTGTAAATCTTTTTGAGGCTAAGGGGTGGGTGGGGGCGGGGGGTGAAGGGAACTTCATTATTTATGGATAAGGGGAGGGCAAAGTAAGAACTTTTGGCATTTTGTAAACATTGTTGAATTCTCTTTCATGTACACTGTTTCTTTTTCAATACTTTGAGAGACCTTTTTATATAATTCAATTTCAACTTAAACCAAATTAGTCAAAAACTTGGCTACATTCAGCCAGTGGGACTGTTATCTGTATCGTTCATTTTGTGCCATATTTTGAATTGCAACATTATGCTAAGTATAACTTTGCAAGTCATGATATTGCCTAACTGCTTGTCATCATTTGTTGTGGCTGTATACTCTGTAGAAAGTACTTTTTTTTTTCTTTTTGAATCAGTGTTTTTACTTTTGCACGCATTAGGAAATCTTAAAAGAATTACTTTCACCAGCATCTTTACTCTTATTACCAAAAACATGTATATAAAAGACTGGAATTGAAAAATAAAATGTATAAAGATAAATAAATTAGGTAGTATATTTGAGTGGCATCAGTCTCAAGAGTTGTGCTGCCCTGGGTAAGTAGAGGAGCCAGGTAGCATCAGAAGAATATGAGGTTACCCTCCAGGGGAGGTTTATAAGATCTGCAGCTCCTCTCTGATTGTTGTTGAATTAACTGTGGTGCTTTACAGAGATGAAGGGCTTATTCTGTGGATGGAAACACGAATCCTTAAAGAGCTCTGTCTCAGATACTGCATTGTCCTCCAAACCCAAAGGTTTTCTTCAGGGTGGGCTGAAGAACCAGTGTATGGATTTTACCAAACTGGCGAGGTGTGTGAGAGCAACACCAGCAGACACCAAGTTCTCAGTGCTCACAGGTCAGGACATGAGTCCCAAAGCAGTTATTAGAGCACCCTCGTCTGGAAGGAGTCTTTTTTTTTTTCTTCTAGAAAATACTTTGCTTCAATATATGAGTGTTTGGATGCACTTTAAATGAAAACTTTTGATTATCTATAAAATGATAGCTGGCAGTGTTTCTTTGTGAAGAATGCATTTCTAAGGGAAAAGGTAAATTATTTTGTCAGTCTGGTGATGTACTTTCTAATTCCAGGATTAGACGTACAGCCAAGGACTGTTTTTAAAGTAGGAAGTAGGTTTTGTAGCATGCTGTCTGAATTCAGAGGAAAGTCCCACCCTTTCCTTAGTTGCTCTCATTCCTTTGATGTTCCCTGTTAAGAGGCTTTTATCAGTCCTTTGTGATTATCATGATAAATAGGTAAAATAAGGTCAGTGAGTGACATGTACAGGGTCCCATTCATTTCTTTGCATGACTAAAGTAAGTTTTTTGTTGTTGGGTTCCCCCCCTCTTTTTAACCTTCTGTTCATAATTTGTACATTCAAATTGTACTGTTACATCTATTGTAAATAAAAATAAAATCTTGGTTGTAGATTCTGTTTTACATATATTTATGATTTATAAGGAAGCTTGTCAAATATGAACAAGAACAGGACCAGCATCAAGTGTAAGGACATTATTGATTGAGACAGCTATATAGGGCTGGGGATAAGGCTCAGTGGTGGATGGGGTGGTTTCCTCACATTGGATTTGTAATCCCTCATATCACCATTCTTGTCCCTTCCCAAAAAAGAAGGAAAGTAAGGGCAATCTATTAGTCAGTCTACTTCCCAGATTATGAGTGGTTAAAAAAAGTCCAAAATTATATTGTTAAGTAGGATTCATCAATGTAGGAAGTGTTCCTCCCTAGTGTAAACTATATGTTGCAATGAAAGAAAGTTTTAAATCTTATTTGAAATACCCATTCCTAGCTCAGTGTGATGCTGTACATTTAATCCAAGCTACGGAAGAAGTAAGGCAAGAGAAATGCAGGATTGATGCCCATCCAGGCAAAGATAGCAGTGAGATCCTGTCTTAAGATACACAAAGCCACAAACCAGTGTCTCATGCCTGTAATTCAAGCTACTCAGAGGCTAAGATCTGAGGATCAGGTGTGAAGGCAACCCAGACAGGAAAATTCGTGATACTCTTATCTCAAATTCAGCACCAAAAGCCAGAAGTGGAGCTCTCACCTCAAGCAAAACAGCTCAGGGACAGTGCCTAGGGCCTGAGTTTAAGGCCCAGATCTGGCACACGTGCAGGCACACACACACACACACACACACACATACAGCATGCAAAAAGGCTGAGGATGTAGCTCAAGTGATAAGATTGCTTATTGCCACATGCAAGCCCCTGAATCCAGTCCCTGTACTATCAAAAAAAATTACTGCTAAACAGCATATAATGATATGACTTTGAACTGCAATCCTGAGTTCTCAGCCTCCCTAGTAGCTAGGATTACAGATGTGAGCCACTGGCACCCAGTCATCATATTAAGTTTTAAAGGAAGAAATAGGAAGACCTGATGGGAATCTCTGAGATAATCAGAGAAGCAGGCTTATGTAGAGGATGAAATGTCATCTTCAGGAAAATGGATGTAACTGGAAATCATCACATTAATAAAACAAACCAGACCAAAAGGACAAATATTTCAAGTTTTCTCTCATAGATAGAGGTAATAATGAGGTGTGACATAATCAAAGTCCATTATATGAATGAAAACGTCATAACAGAATTATACATTTAATACATGCTAATAAAACTTAAAGATCAAAGTAGATGTGAAGATGAACATGCTAATAGTAATATGATGAATGAATTTAATACAACTGAACTTTATATGTGGAGAAGGGAGGCAGATTTATGGTAAAACAAGAGAAGAGTAGGAAATGATCTCTCCATCTGAAAGGCAAAGGCATTTGTGTTTTTGTGTACATGTGCCTGCACGTGTGCGTGCATGCATGTGCGCTCATATGCGCAACTGTCCTGGAGTTTGAACTTAGCCTGGGCACTGTCCCTGAACATTTTTTTTTCTTTTGTGCTCGTAGCTAGTGCTCTACCACTTAAGCCACAATTCCATTTCCAGTTTTTTTGGTAGTTAATTGAAGATAAGAATCTTACAGACTTTTCTGCCAAGGCTGGTTTCATACTGCAATCCTCAGATCTCAGCCTTCTGAGTAGCTAGGATTACGTGTGTGAGCCACAAGCACCCTGAATAAAAGGTATTTTTTTTAAAAAACAAAATACTGTGCAAACCAAGTAAAACCTGTCTTGAGGTTGATATTTGTTACAGGCTACAATGCACAATGCATAGGTTCAGTAGACTCAGGCCCTAAAGAAAATAAGAGTATTATTAGTCAAGCATTATTGAAGATTTACCAAGTGACAGTACCAAGCTGGGTACACCAATAAAAAAGACAGTAACGTGGACTTCAGCCTTCCCTGAAGGTCAGTGCTTATCTTTGTCCTGTGGAGCTTGTCTTTGTCATGCTGCTGCTTGGTTATCAACTATCATCATTGTACCCTGCCCCCCTACTCCATCCAAGAGCAGTTGCCATTCAGGCTCAACTATAGACAGTGCACTTGATTTGTAAGGAAGGAAATCTTTAGGATCTTTGCAAGTTCACTTGGGAGAAAATGAGTAAGCTAGGTTGTAGACTGTTTCTTTTTAAATAGGAGATAATCGGAAGAAATAAAGGAAAGCTGATAACAAAGGTGCATTGCAGTGAGAGGGAGAAAAAATAAAACTATACAAATCTTAAGAGTTCATTTGTTAACCTAAAAGAGTTAACCTAGCAAACACTCATCTCATGTGGTACAGACATTAACAAGATGAAATCTTTCTCTAGTCTCCCCCAAAGCTTTTTCAAAATTAATTAGAAACACTCATATTTTGATGGTAACATCAAAGTGCAGCTTAAAACTAGTTTTGTAGTTTTTCCTGTGCAAAAGAGTCAAAGTGAACGGAGGGTAGTTAGACTTCAAAAGTACTTGTGCCCTATGGTGAGAAACAGAGCTCAAGTATTGGTTGATAGGCAGTAGCTGGTGAGTGTGCATGGGTCTCTTGGAAGGAAACCAGTGGGGGTGAAGACAGGGCACAGGTAGCAGAGCCCTGTACCATCAATGTTGGCTTGCAAGGAGGAGGCCTCAGGTTTGCAGCATACATTATTAAAGAGAACATAAGCACCTCAGGGCAGCAGGTCATCTAGGGTAAGAAGAACTGGATTGCTATGTCCCTTCTTAAAGCATGCCATTTCAGAATGTTTCTAAGAAATGTTCAGACCAGAGAAGCAGGCCATAGGTCACACACATGCAGCTGCTGAATTTCCAGAAGTGGGCATCTATTGTTCAAGATTATATCTGAATCCACAGGATTTGTTTACCTTAGCTATAATGTCTTTTAAAAACTAACACATTCTTCAAAGTATAACTTGGACAATGGAATTTCTAAGAACTCAGATCACATTAACAGTTCTTAAGTAGTATTTTATTGCAGAATTGCGCAAAGAATGCAAAGAAGGCATTGAGATTTATTCTCACATTTGATACAAGATGATTTCCTAACATCTACTTCTACCACACCCTCAATCAAAGCAATTTTTATAAGGCTTCATTTGGCCAGAGATTACATTCTGATACACTATTTGGCTTCTATTAAGTGATTGAGGGTTGAGATCCTATTTCCTTCTCCTTTTCTTTGGAGGAAGGAAAATGGGGACTATGCATATCAAAGATCAAGGTCTCCAAGAAGTTGAGGGTTTGTGATAGTCTTCTTGGACATTCAATCCCAAACACATGAAAGGCAGCCACCAGCGCAGCCAAGGCTGTGACACAGTCATCCACTTTGGTGAGCTTCTCTTTGTCCAAATATAAAGAAAACTCACAAACATCGATGTTGAAAGGGTTTTTAACTTTCAACACAGGTGTAGACACTTGTACCTGGGGGGAGGGGAATAAAGTGAAGTCATTAGTCCATGATAGTTTATATAGTTAAATCATAAAACATGCCTGCACGAGCACTAATATTGCAATCGGTGAGCTTGTTGCACGTTAGCATAATTGTAACTATGATAAACTATACTTCAAAATATACAACTCTCTTGCTTGTAATCAGATGCAAATGTGAAGTGGAAAACCAATGGCTTAACATACTGTGTACCTTCTCATTCACAACAACAAAAAGACTGGAATCATCTCCAAAAACATCCGGGAGGAGTAAACACGTGGCTGTCATCTTCATATCTGTCAAAGCAAGCATGTTCACAGGCTGAGTAAAAATAGATTTTCAGTAATTGTAAGCAAAAGTAGTGTTAAAACATCAGGATGGTGTTTTGTTTTTTTTAAAAAAATTACTTCTTACAGATTACTAGCCATCTTAGATGAGTGTTCCAAAATCTTTTAAAGCCAACATCTACCAAAGTGCTCAAAATGTCATACATGTCCTCCAGATCACTCCCTCAAGAAACAAGAGATCTTCACTCTATCCTTCTGCCAGGATGATTTTGCTCAGTGTTACCTCATGACTTGCATTATGAAAACTAACAGCATACTAGCTGGGTGGCATTGGCTCACACCAGTAGTCCTAGCTACACAGCAGTCTGAGATCTGAGGATCACCATCTGAAGCCAGCTCTAACAGGAAAGTCCATGAGACTCTTATCTCCAATTAACCACCAAAAAGGTGAAAAGGAAATAAGGCTTAAGTAGCAGAGTACTAGCCTTGAGCAAAAGAGTTCAGGGATAGTGCCCTGGACCTGAATCCAGGACTAACACACACACACACACACACACACACACACACACACACACACACAGAGCTAATAGTATACTGCTGCCCAAAGAGAGATTTATAATAGTATACTTTTAAAATGAAAACATGCACAATTTGAATTATTTTCCCAATTGCCAATTATTTTCTCGAACTTTACTTATTACTAAAGTGGAACATTCTTAATTATCCTGAATTGTACAGACAGCTGAGCCCAGCTAACCTGTGCCCAGGTTTACTAACATTTCAGCATGTCTTCATCTGTATACTGCTTCAGTTTTTCTTGTAATGCAATGTTGATTGGATTGTCTGCCACTGAAAAAGCAGTCAGTACATTTTCTGAATAGGATTCCAAAATATGCCGTGTTTTCTTACAAATATCCGTTCTTGTAAGAAGCTGGAATTCTCTGAACATCTGATAAAAGGAGAAATTAGTAGATATATCAGGTCACCAGAAAATCTAATATAGATAGATAGATATCCATGTAAGTAAATAACTGGCATTATGTTAAGTTTGGAATTGGTTTAAAATAGATACTTTGCTAGCTTTAGTGGAGAAGTGAAGACTTAGGAAGAGGGAAGAGAAAATAATAAAAGGCTAAAGTGAATGAGAAATGATAAATAATGAACATGGCAAAATTTTAGATCTATAGAACTAAAAAATTGGAAGCGGGATGTCGGTGCCTCATGCCTATAATCTGAGCTGCTCAGGAGGCTGAGGATCTGAGGATCACGGTTCAAAGCCAGCCTGGGCAAGAATGTTCGTGAGACTCTTTTTTTTTGGGGGGGTCCAGTCGTGGGGCCTGAATTCTGGGCCTGGGCGCTGTCCCTCAGTTCTTCAGCTCAAGGCTAGTGTTCTACCACTTGAGCCACAGCGCCACTTCCACCTTTTTTCTTTTTGCTTATGTGGTGCTGAGGAATCGAACCCAGGGCTTCAGGCATGCAAGGCAAGCACTCTACCACTGTGCCACCTTCCTAGCCTTCGTGAGACTCTTATCTCCAATAAACCACTCAGAAAACCAAAAGTGCAGCTATGGCTCAATTAGTAGAACACTAGCCTTGAGCTAAAGAGCTGAGGATACAGTGCCCAGGCCCCATGACCACAAAAAAAAAAAAAGGGAAACACTGTATTCAATGGAATAAAGAATCTTCTAATTCCAAAATTGAAGGTCAAGCCAATTAGAATCAAAACATAGCCAGACGCCAGTAGTCATGCCTGTAATCCTAGCTGCTCAGGAGGCTGAGATCTGAGGATCACAGTTCAAAGACAGCCTGGGCGAGGAAAGTCCATGAGACTCATTTCCAATTAACCACCAGAAAACTGGAAATTGTGCTGTGGCGCAAGTGATAGAGAGCTAGCCTTGAGCTGAAGAATTGAGGGACAGCACCCAGGCCCAGAGTTCAAGCCCCACAACCAACAACAACAACAAAAAAAGGAATGAAAACATTAGCCAGTATCAGTAGCTCATGCCTGTAATCCTACTTGGAGGCAGAGGTTGGAAGAATGGTTCAAGGCCAGTATGGGCAAAAAAGTTTATTCTCAGCAGAATAAATTGGGCCTGGTAGCATGTGCCTGTCGTCTGCCTATGGTGGGAAGTATAAATAAGAGATTGAGTGCCAGGGTGGTGAAGGCAAAAAGTGAGACTCAACTTCAAAAATAACCAGAGCAAAAAGCTGGAGGTATGGGTTAAGCAGTGGTGAAGGCAAAAAGTGAGACTCAACTTCAAAAATAACCAGAGCAAAAAGCTGGAGGTATGGGTTAAGCAGTAGAGGATCTGCCTAGCAAACAGATGCCTGAGTTAAAAACACAAGAATGAAAAACAAAAGAAATGTAAAACTGAATTCAATCCCAGATGCAGATTCAACTAAATGAGGAAAACTAATTATACAGAAGTCTGCTATTTGGGTTGGGTATTATAGGATTCTAGGATCTTCTATCTCTTCAAGTAAACTCTGGTTTTGATTTGACAGTGTCTAACAAGAGGCAAAACAAGGAAACTACTAGATTTCAGAAAACAACCCTTCAGCAATACCTTATGGTAGCATCCTAAATTGAAAAAGCTGCAGTGTTCTTGAGATGATAACATTTGAAAAACAAGGAAAAACAATAGAAATGCAGAAAAGTTGACCATTGTGATGCCTATGCATAGAGATTAGTAAAGCAAACCTGTAGGTCTGACAGCTTTTCCTGAGAGGAATAGAAGAGGGCTGTGACCTAATGAATAGAATAATCTCTTGATGGATTCCCAGGCTCAAGGCATTATTGTGATATGGTTAAAAAGTAGCAGGTGGAGCCTAGTTGGAAGAAGTAGGTTAATGGGAGTGTTTCCTTAGGGATTCAATCTACCTGGACCACTTCTGGTGTTCTTTTGCTTTGTGATGCGAATTACTTTGTGCTGCCAGGCCTTTACATCATGATAGACTGAAATCATAAGTCTTTTCCTTCCTAATTCCCACTCCTCTGAAAATTCTGTCTCTACTCCCATTTGATTGACAAAGTGACTTTATCAAATCATTGGTCATTTTTTAAGGGAATGTAATGACTACATATATTTATTTTCCCAAAACTGTAAATAACAGTTACATACTGTCTAACTGGGCCCTCATTGCTCCTTGAATATTTTGGTAGATCATAATTTGAACAAAGATAGTTCTGAAAGGTAAGTTTTCAGAAAGCTGGGATCCTCATAAATTCTCCTAAAGATGTAATGGTTTTGATATTAGGCAGCTCTCTGGATAAATAACCTTAGAAAATGGTTATCTTATTAGGCTGACAAGAAATAAATAAAAAAAGGTAGAATACACTATTTCCCTGGGCCCATAGCCTAAGAATTTTTAAAACTATTTATTCTGAAATACTTTTAAGTTTACATTGATGTTATAGAAATAATAGAGCTCTCAATGAAATATGGATATTGAGTGTCTAAGTGAGACCATTTTGTCCTCACTGCCATCTTGGGAAAGATGGGGACTTTCTGGGAATGCTCTAGAGATGAAATAGGTCTTTCTTTGATCTGCAGATGTGTCATGTTTAGCTTCAGAAAAGTCTTGCTCCCAGGAATTCTTGCCATAATCCTCTAATTGTTCTTCACCTGGTTTGTTTTACTTATGTAAAACACTTGCTAGGTTCAGTTCTTCACACTGCATGTGGTTTGTGCCTTTAGGAGCTTTGTGCTAGCTACATTTGGGGCTGCAAGTTTGTAGACACCCATATTTTAATAAAGACTCCCAATCGGACTTCTTAAAGGTGTGGCTTCTCTGTATCTTGCTGATCAAATTCCCATATAACAAAAATACCCTTCATTCAAATGGCCCTGATCTCTGGTCTGCTTGAACATAAGCTGTAGACACAATGCCCCATTACTCCTTAACTCTTTGTTTGTATTTCTTTACCATAAAATTCAAAATCAGGGAATCTAATCCACGGGTTTCATTCAGATTTACAAGTTGTTCCAATCACGTTCTTCATAGGTCAGATATCGAATCCAGAATCACATGGATTTAAAAAACATGTTTCAAATTCAGTCTGCATTCAGTAAAAACTTCTTGAAGTCTTTGATATTTTTGAAAAGTGACCATTTGGGACATAGAACATCCTTCGATCTAGGTTGGCTTAATGCTGTTCCTTCATGAATTACACATTCAGGACAAGGGTACTTGGATGGCTCCCTGCACCAGGAAGCACAAGATGTTAATTAGTACCTATGTTGTACATACTAATTTTTATCATCTGGTTAAATTGGAATCTGCCAGGTTTTTTCACTGTGCAGTTAATTCAGAGCTGTTGTATTGATACCTAGAGTTTTTGGAAATAACTTCTTTCTCATGTAAATTTAATCTACCAGATTTAGCATCTGCTCATGACCTTTGTCTCAAGTATACCTACAATCATTGCCAAGAGCAACTTTCTTAGCCCATTCTTGGCTTCCTATAATAGGGTAGAATTTTCTCTTCTTCCACATTCATTTATCTTTGCATTTATTATATCACTACAGACTAATATATCCTTATTCCACTCAAATCTGATCCTTCAATTATCTTTGTCTTTTTATAATCTGCTCAGGTTTTCCAGATTCACCCAGTGGGAGCTGCTTTAAAGCTATTTCTCTGTCTTCTGGACATACTCTATTAGACTATGAGTACTTCCTTAATTTCTGGCATTAGAACACAGTATTTCAGATCATTTTGTGTTTGGAGTCAGTCATTTCTCCAAGGGCTCTTTTTCTCCTTTTGTTGAAGAGAAGCATTTAGAAACTAAAGCTTCATCCCATATCGAAGTGTTATTGCTCCAGGCTTTCTCATAGAACAAGCTAAGACATTTATTTTTATATATTGTGACAGTGTCAGAATCAAAATGGAGTCACTGGTGTCAAACTCTAACAAAAAATAAAGCCAGAAGTTTCAAAAATAGAAAATTTCCTGCATGGATGCCTGGTAACAACTAATGCCAAACCCTCTTTCAGAACCAGACTTTTCCCAGAGACCACTGCAACCCGACACAGGGCTTTGTATAGGATCACCTGTCCAACCACCACTTATCTCACCTTGGATTGATGTCACCTTTGATGGTGACCTTGAGTCAAGGATATTGTTAAAGCAACTTGGGTAATCCTCCTCAATTTTCCCTTTGAAATCTTCATGCCTTTCCTCCTTGATTACTCATTTCCATTGCAGTGTCAAATTTATTATCTCTTCAGAATCTCTTTCTGTTTATTATTTAGGTTGACTATATGTATATCTATATAGTATATAAGTATACATATGTATATATACAGACTATATATATAGTTATTAATATATCTGTATATATAATAAAAACTAAGTTTCACTCTAACATTGTAGGGTTTTTTCTAAACTTCCTCTTTCCATACTTCCAAGTTTGCAGTATTTACTTATTATCATAAATCTCCACTCAGCCATATAGCCAAACTCTAGCTGTGATTGGCCAGCTACAGAAAAATCGCCTTTCCCATCATATCTAATTTGGTCCCAGAAATTAACTGTTATCTTTTTTTGTTATTCAGATTAGTAACTTCTAGTGGTCTATTTTTAAATTCAGACTCTTGATTTTCCTCCATGTTAGTAAGGTTACCCAGGAATGTTTGCATTTCAGTTAAATATTCTTTTCAGCTCTAAATTTCTAAATTGAAATATTCATATTCCATTTCTCTGCTGAGTCCCCCCCCACAGATAAAATGCATGGAATTCATTGGTCTTGCCATGTTCTTATCACCCAAAACAACTAGCTTGATAAAAATGATGGAGTTACCTGGTGAAGACGGGTACAGCACCAGCTAAAATGTCAATACTTGGAGATCTTGGACAAAATTCCCTGGGGCTGTCTACACTATACATTAGCATTTTGATATTACTATACAGACTTTTCTATGGTCAGACTCACAGGTGAATCAAAGGGCAACCGAGCAACATCACTGATGATTGCCCAGCGATCCACTAGGAGAGGGTTTAAATTGTGTTCCTTTAATGAGTGCTTGGTTTGAGTCTGGCAGGCAGTTAAGTTGCTGGTTGTTTTTCTGGTCTTGTCAGAATTGATGTTATCATTTGTTTGGGCAGGTTTATTTTGAAGTTTCCTCTTAGTTACAGGTAAAATGAAGCCCAGGGCATAATTCTCCCTCATAAGGCATGGACTTCCTGGAGCGATAAGTCTATGCCTGAGGTGCTTGGCAATGCTTGTCTACTCTGGTCAGAATGCTTACTCTTGAGTGTGGAGGGTCCTCTGACAGCAGCTCTCTGTCATGTTGGAGCCCCCCATCTATCTCTCTTTCTCCTTCTCCTTCTCCCTCTCCCTCTCCCTCTCCTTCCCTCTTTCTCTCCTTCATTCTCCCACTCCCCACTTCCTCCCTCTCTCTTCACATTCCCCTCTGGCTTTGTGCAGTCGCATCCTATGAAGGCCAGTCCTCAGCCAAACACACTGGGAGGTTTTGTGTGGGCTTCTCCCCCACTTCCTTCCCCTCAAAAACACTGTCCTACAACCTGCTTCCTCATTCCCCACCTCCAGCCTGTTTTGGCACAGCCTTTCTGTACAGTGATCTGGAAGCTCACCTATGGCAGAAATCTGAGGCACAAAGCAGGTACCTAGGGCTGGGAAGGTGGCTCAGTGGCAGAGCGCTTGCCTTGCATGCCTGAGGCCCTGGGTTCGATTCCTCAGCACCACATAAAGCAAAATGAAAAAAGCCAGAAGTGGCGCTGTGGCTCAAGTGGTAGAGTGCTAGCCTTGAGCTGAAGAGCTGAGGGACAGCACCCAGGCCCAGAGTTCAGGCCCCACGACCGGACCAAAAAAAAAAAAAAAGCAAGCAGGTACCTGGGCCGCCAGTAACTAATGTCAGCAAACAGTGCGCCGGGAAGACCAGTCCAGCACTTACTACAACGTGAATTTTTTAATTTTTAAATGGAAAATTCCAGTTGAAAATGTTTTTGAGTGGAAGAGGTTAATGAGGAGAGGAGGAAAAGAGGGACCAAGGTCCAGGGCCTTCTCCCCTGCCCGCTGCTTCTGTTCCTCAGCAGCTGCATCACAGCTCCATCAACACTGAAGGGATTTCACAATAGCAGTAGCAGTAAGCCTCGACACAAGCATGACCATTCTACTCTCCAAGTTGTTTGTACAAATAACTGTAGCTATGGTCAAGTTTGCTTTAATTTGAAGAAGTACAAGAGTTTTGGCAATCGTACCTCCCAACTACGTGGGTCTACATCATAGAAAGTTATGTCCTGGAGCAACCAAAACTATTTTATTATTTTGTGAAAAATACAGTTAATAGACAATTTCTTTTTTGGGGGGTGGGGGTCCGGTCGTGGGGCCTGAACTCTGGGCCTGGGCGCTGTCCCCAGCTCTTCAGCTCAAGGCTAGCACTCTACCATTTGAGCCACAGCGCCACTTCCGGCTTTTTTCTTTTTTCTTATGTGGCGCTGAGGAATCGAACCCAGGGCCTCAGGCTTGCAAGTGCTCTACCACTGAGCCACCTTCCCAGCCCAATAGACAATTTCATCTAATACACATAGTCAGTGCAAAAAGCAATCTTGGTCTTTGTCCTTATTTGGTGCACATTTTAGACATAGAAAGTGAAAAGTCTAAGGGAATATGGAGCGGCGGGGGTAGGTCATGCATGGGATAGTTTGAGATGTCTGAAAAATCTAAATATCTCCAATAACTTCTTGGCTTCCTCATTCAGGTCAGACCTAATACCATCTATGATTCTTTGAATGAATCCTTAACTGTAATTCACCTATTCTATCACTAAACTACTGAGGGCTGCACTCCAGTGAAAACTCCTAACATCAGTGACTAGAGCATCATTACTAACATCCACTGATTTATTCTATGTCCAAAAATACAATGTGCTTTTCTGCCATGCACACTGCTTAACTAGGGACCTTGAGAATGACTGATATTTAAACCTTGTTTCTTGTATCAAAAGAGTTTACCCCCTATCAGACTGGCAGATTTTACTTTAAAATTATTTGCCGGTACATCTGTCTGGCACTGCTTTCACATCTAATAGCAGCTAGGGGCTATTGCCTGTGATATGTCCTAGCAACCCAGAGATTAAGAAACAAGCAAACAAAAATCAAAGTAAAGTTGCTGCAGGTTAAATTAATTAACCCACATAAACCCAGAAATACACCAGCTGTAAGCACATGTTTACTATTGATATTATTAAATTAATACATGCAGGCAAATGCTTCTTGAACATTTTTGTAGAAAATGAAAAGTATGTCAAATGTTTTATTTTTCATGTATGTGATTGAGCTCCTAACATTTTTCCGTGAAATGTGTGCTTGGACAAAACTATGAAAAATCTCTTCTTAAAATCACACTAAACTGGTGATATGATTCCTGGATGGCCGTCATAAAAAAATTCAAAAGACAGGTATTTTGTTTATCCATTAAACTATATATATATGTATATTCATATGTGTATATATGTATAAATTAAACTATATATATGTATATTCATATGTGTATATATGTATAAATTAAACTATATATATGTATATTCATATGTGTATATATGTATAAATATATGCATATATACACATACATATATACATACATATCACTTTATAGTTTGGGGTTCTAGAATAAAATAATGTTGCATATTCCTTCATATGTAGTCTTGATGATCTAAACACATGCAAAGGAGAAATAATTTATACTGTCAAAATAACTTGAAATAATGATTTCCAAGCTTCTACAATAATCTAATGAGAGGCAACTAGAATTCTGCAGGCCACAGCTTGATACAGTAATCAGAGTGATATAGGTGAATCAACATACCTGGTAAGGGCATTTCAAGAAAGGAAACATTTTAAGAATATCCTTCAAAGGTGTCCTCTTGTCAATCATCTTCCTTCTGATTTCCAAAGTCTGGCTCATCCTCTTGTCAATTTCTCTCCAGTTCTTTTCTGTTTTCACATATTCTTGCTGGAACCAGTTAATGTGTTCATCTACCTCAGAATCTAAACAAACAGATTCTTCCTGCCAAATATTTTCAAAACATCAGTGAGTTTCATGTTTCAAGTGGCAGTTTGGTACTACATGAACCCTTGAGTTGCAGCCTGTTACTGCAGTCTTAATAATGCACTCCTAAGGGGAGCATCACCATGCCTAATTACACTTGGCCTTGGACACAGTTAACCAAGGAATGCTCTTTAATGAAATCTAATTAGGTGATTACTTACCATGGAATTATAATCTATGCTCTTGACAGACTTAAAAAATTAACGTAATTCCTACTTACCCATTTATAAGGAAACTTAGATTACCTAGAAAGTTCACACCTAACAGGAATGTTGTTTATTTTTATATATGAAAATTTTAGAAGACAAAATGTCAAGAATAGATGAAAAATTTATAGTCAGGTTCTTACTATTGGTATTGTCCTTTTTTCATTATAAATGCCTGAAGAATCAGACATATAAACCAAACTCAAAATAATAACATTAATTGTGTTGCATAAGTATGTGTGTGTGTGTGTGTGTGTGTGTGTGTGTGTGTGTGTGTGTGTGTGTACCTGAGATGCTAAACCATAATGCTATTATTTTCACCAGATTCGGGAACACTAGCTGGGGTAGGAGAAGCTGAAAAGATATTAGAGACTCTTGTTGAAAATCTAGGGCAAATAGCTTTGAGGAAAAAGGCAAATGACTTTTCTAGGACAATTGAGAGGATTTCAGGAGAACTTCACTTGAGTGAAAGTCAACTTACCTAACTGGTCTGATTGTGAACAGATGTTACCTATAAATGGTGAAGATGACAAGGAGTCTACATCAAAGGCTTTAGAATCACATTGAGAAATTGTCAGGTACACCCACTTCCTATGAAATCTGAATGACTAGTAGGACACAGATGAAGTGAATACATTCCTAGAAAAATATACTTTACCAAAATAGATTAAAGTGAAATTTCCTACAGTCTTACAGAAACGTAACTGCAAAGTAAAAGTATTTGCAGAAGAGAAAGCAACACCAACTTGTTCTGTGATACTCTGTGATGTTGACCCTCACTCCTAGAGGAGCCTGTGTAGGATAGAGAAGTACAGGTCACTCCCACCAAGGAAACCTGACAGAGAGGGAACAAGAAATGCTAATGGGACCACAATCAAAACAATAACATTGTTTGCATGTGTGTGTGTGTGTATGTGTACGTACAGTTCAATGTTTGTTTGATATTAGTAAAGAGGCTAAGCTAAAGAGAAATATGATTGATTTACCTATTATACTTCATGTACTGTCATATAGCAAACTGATCTGGAGCAACTGTTATAGGAAAGCTTGGGGCAGGAAAAACATACTTATATAAGAAATGAAGGGTATAATACCTGTAAATATTTTACATCAGTAATAAAACTGATGATAAAATAAGATTTTTTTCAGATAATGCAGGAAAAATGTATAATTCAACCTCCCTTTATGCTTTAGGATTAAAGAAAAAAAATCTTGATCAAGCTGAAATGAGAAACGTTAAAAACCTATAAAGCTGTCCAGTCAAAATTTTGCCTAACAGTATATTTTTTTAATTTTGAAAATTTTAAAGGATTATCTTTAAATTCTAAGACAAGAAAAAGTATCAGCTGTAGACTTAGCCAGAGTAGTAAAATAGAGAAAATAAGGTATAAAAATTGGAAGAAAAGAATCAAAATTATTATTCATAAACGAGAGTTTTTCTAAAGCCACTAAATACAAAATCAACATACAAATATATACTGACCAATGAAGAGAAAGATTTATATTTTTATTTATTTAGAGACAGATGTCGTCACTACGTAGCTCAGGTTGGACTTGAAATCATGATCTTTCTGTCTCAGCCTCTACAGTTGCTGCTGTGAAGGCCACAGGCTCATTAGATCCAGCTAGAAAAGGTATTTTGTTTGTTCTTTACAATTTGCAAAACACCTTTAATGTATCTAGATAGAAAATTAGCAAACTATGTGATAGTTTGTGATAGACGTAAAGAAAATTCCAAAAATCACTGGAAAATATTGCTGAGATCTCATAAATAGATAAATTTTTCCATGCTCACTGAAAGATTCAACTAGTACAAGGAAGTCCCCCTTATAAATATAGATCCAATGTTTATAGCAAAAATCCCTATTGTTTTAATAAAATGAGTTTTTCTTTTATTATGATCTTTAAGAAGTTGTACAAAGGCATTTTGATTCAGCATGTCAGTTTATGAGTACAATGCATCTTGATCAATGTCATCCTTATGTGAAAGTTTTATAACCAAGACACTTCTACGAGTGTAGTGATGAGAATGAATGAAGACATTTTGTAGCTATGCAGTTAGGAAAAGTGGTCTTCCTGTAGGAAGAGAGAACTTTCCTGATAGAAAAAAACAGATCTTCTAGACAAGAATCATGGAAGTAACAGATAGCACCAGCAAGATTCCCAGGGAAGAGAAGGCTTGTTTTATAAAAGATTCAAGAAATTGGTCTACCCATCATGGGGGCTGAAGAGGAATCCTATGAGGCTTATGAAATTTGGTATTAAAGGCAAACTAAAAAAAAAATTAAAGGGAATTTCTTATCACTTAAAGGCAGTGATTATCTAGAATACTAATTATAGGGGAAATGTTTGTCAAGTCTATATTAACATGACAAACTTATCTTTATCAAAAGGCACCAGAAAGAAATTTATAAAACAAAGCATCAAGTGGGAGAAGATATTTACAGTAAAAATAATTGGGAGGTTAGCATACAAAATATATTAAAGATTCTTGCAAATAAGTAAAAGACTGTTAGACAAACAAAAGACATGAGCAGGCAAGCCTTTTACAGAGGAGAAAACACAAACATTTCATAACCATATGAAAATCTGATCAATTCATAAATAATTATAATGAAAATAAGGTCCAAAGAAGATACCAATTTATTCTCAATAGGTTAGGACAGGGAAATCTGGTAACAAATGACTATGATCATCTTAAGTAAACTATTTCTGTCCTACAAAGATGAGTATTTGCATACATACTCCAGGAGCCAGCAACTCCACTATTAAGCTTGAAGCCTTGTAAAATGCTTGTGCATATGCCCCAAGGCACACATCCAAGAATGATCAAAGCAGCGTGGCTCAGAACAGCCAAAACTGGAGACAAATCAAATATAAGTTGACAGGAGAATAGCCAGATAAACTGTGGTTCTCTGTCAAAATAGATTATTAAGCCAACGGGAAAATGAATAAACTACACAGATGAATTTAACAGCCTGGATGAATCACATGGAGTGACAAAAAAGGGAATCATCAAAGACAACATATACTACTCGCATTCATTTGTAGCCTCAAAGATTAAAAAGGTACACAGAACAGGTTCTTCAGGAACCCACTGCATAGATGCCCAAATCATTTATGTAAGTGTACTTATTTAAGAAATCAGAGATGCAGCCGGGCGGTGGTGGCTCATGCCTGTAATCCTAGCTACTCAGGAGGCTGAGATCTGAGGATTGCGGTTCAAAGCCAGCCCAGGCAGGAAAGTCAGTGAAACTTTTTTTTTTCATGTTCCAGATTTTTTTTTATTGTGAAAATACTGTACAGAGGGGTTACAATTACATGGGCAAGATAATGAGTACATTTCTTATCAAGCATTGTAGCCTCCTCCTTTGTTTCCCCTTCCCATCCCATCCTCTCCCCCTCCCCCACCCCCCACCCAATCCTCCCCCTCCCCCCCACCAAAGTTGTAAAGTTCGTTTTCGACATAACGACTTGTACATCTCATTGTTGCAATGGGTCCACCTGTATCCCTATTTAAACTATTTGTTTTTCCCCTTCCCCTCCACAAATTATACTGACATCAAATACAGTGAAAGCAGGGGTTATACTGTGGGAGAGGGACATACAAAGCAACAAAGAAAAAGTCAGTGAAACTCTCATCTTTAATAAACCACCAGAAAACCAGAAGTGGCTCTGTGGCTCAAGCAGTAGGGTGCTAGCCTTGCGCTGAAGGACTGAGGGAGAGTGCTCAGGCCCAGAGTTCAAGCCCCATGACCAAAAAAAAAAAAAATCAAAGATGCAATCAGCCTAAAATTCACAGCTCTGGGTACTTCTGGATGTTGCAAATGTGGGTAAAGGAAGAGAGGAATGGGCACCAGTGTCTCATGCCTATAATCCTAGCTATTCAGAAGGCTCAGATCTGAGGGTCACAGTTCAAAATCAGCCCAGGCCAGGAAAGTCCATGAGACTCTTATCTCCAATAAACCACCAGAAAACCCGAAATGGCCCTGTGGCTAAAGTCATAATGTGTTCACTTTGAGCTATAGAGCTCAGGGACAGCTCCCAGGCCCATGAGTTCAAGCCCTATGCCTGACCCAAAAAAAGAGAGAGAATAGAAGAGAAGGGTCCAGGTCAACATGACTGGATCGGCCATGATTTAATTCTAAAGCTGGGTGTTGATATCTCAAGTGCTCTGTGAATAACATATATACCCATATATTATACATTTAAAAAAGTCTCAAATGAGTAGAATGATAATTGTTAAATACATGTAGAAAAGTAAAAGAAAATATAAATGTTAATTATATAAACAGCTTTCTACTACTGCCGTATCATGGAAATTCTCTAAGTACTGATAGTGACATTTATGGACCACCATATACATGATGTATTGCTTCTCCCAAAAGACCTACACAATCATTTTTAGGAAGCTTCTACCTGACCTGACTAGGGATTGTAGTCCAGATTAAAAGCCTGATTTAGATTTGAAATTTCCCAAATCTCTCTTGCTTTTAATCATTTATATATTGTTAGATTCTATTATTTATGACTTAAATGCTTTCAGGGCTGGAAAGAACTGGGTCCATATACCCCTTATACCAATGAGAACAAAGCGGGAGGTGACTTCCCAGGACAGGTGGGGATCCTGGTTGATATAGCCCCACTTCTCTAAGAAGAAAGATGGCCTAGTTGTGAAAGCTAGTTTCTTTGATGCACTGTGAGAGGAGGGAAGTAATGAATGAGAAATGGCTGAATCTTACAGAACTGCAT